GAAAGTGTAATCTGCTTTTTTGGATGGAATGTCCTATAGATATCATTTAAATCTATCTGGTCTATTGTGTCATTTAAAGCTTGTGTTTCCTTATTAATTTTCTGTTTGGATGATCTGTCCGTTGGTGTAAGTGAGGTGTTAAAGTCCCCCACTATTATTGTGTATTATACTGTCAATTTCCTCTTTTAGAGCTGTTAGCAGTTGCCTTATGTATGGAGGTGCTCCTATGTTGGGTGCATATATATTTATAATTGTTATATCTTCTTCTTGGATTGATCCCTTGATCATTATGTAGTGTCCTTCCTTGTCTCTTGTAACATTCTTTATTTTAAAGTCTATTTTATCTGATATGAGTATTGCTACTCTTTTGATTTCCATTTGCATGGAATATATTTTTCCATCCCCTCATTTTCAGTCTTTATGTGTCCCTAGGTCTTAATTGGGTCTCTTGTAGACAGCATGTATATGGGTCTTGGTTTTGTATCCATTCAGCCAGCCTGTGTCTTTTGGTTGGAGCATTTAATCCATTCACCTATAAGGTAGTTATTGATATGTATGTTCCTATTACCATTTTCTCAATTGTTTTGGGTTTGTTTTTGTAGGTCCTTTTCTTTTCTTGTGTTTCCCACTTTGAGAAGTTCCTTTAGCATTTGCTGTAGAGCTGGTCTGGTGGTGCTGAATTCTGTTAGCTTTTGCTTGTCTGTAAAGCTTTTGATTTCTCCATCGAATCTGAATGAGATCCCTGCTGGGTAGAGTAGTCTTGGTTGTAGGTTCTTCCCTTTAAATATGACTTTAAATATGTCATGCCACTCCCTTCTGTCTTGTAGAGTTTCTGCTGGAAATAAGCTGTTAACCTTTGGGAGTTCCCATGTATGTTATTTGTCGTTTTTCCCTTGCTGCTTTCAATAATTTTTCTTTGTCTTTAATTTTTGCCAGTTGGATTACTATGTGTCTCGGCGTGTTTCTCCTTGGGTTTATCCTGCCTGGGACTCTCTGCACTTCCTGGACTTGGGTGGCTATTTCCTTTCCCATGTTAGGGAAATTTTCGACTATAATCTCTTCAGATATTTTCTCGGGTCCTTTCTCTCTTCTCCTTCTGGGACCCCTATAATGCGAATGTTGTTGCGTTTAATGTTGTCCCAGAGGTCTCTTAGGCTGTCTTCATTTCTTTTCATTCTTTTTTTTTTTTATTGTGTTCTGCAGCAGTGAATTCCAGCATTCTGTCTTCCAGTCACTTACCCATTCTTCTGCCTCAGTTATTCTGCTATTGATTCCTTCTAGTGTAGTTTTCATTTCAGTTATTGTATTGTTCATCTCTGTTTGTTTGTTCTTTAATTCTTCTAGGTCTTTGTTAAACATTTCTTGCATAATCTTGATCTTTGCCTCCATTCTTTTTCCAAGGTCCTGGATCATCTTCACTCTCATTATTCTGAATTCTTTTTTCTGGAAGATTGCCTATCCCCACTTCATTTAGTTGTTTTTCTGGGGTTTTATCTTGTTCCTTCGTCTGATACATAGTCCTCTGCCTTTTCATCTTGTCTTATCTTTCTGTGGATGTGGTTTTTGTTCCACAGGCTGCAGGATTATAGTTCTTCTTGCTTCTGCTGTCTGCCCTCTGGTGGATGAGACTATCTAAGATGCTTGTGAAAGTTTCTTGATGGGAGGGACTGGTGGTGGGTAGAGCTGGCTGTTGCTCTGGTGGGCAGAGCTCAGTAAAACTTTAATCTGCTTGTCTGCTGATGGGTGGGGCTGGGTTCCCCCCCTGTTGGTTATTTGGCCTGAGGTGACTCAACACTGGAGCCTACCCATGCTCTTTGGTGGGGCTAATGGCGGACTCTGCGAGGGCTCACGCCAAGGAGTACTTCCCAGAACTTCTGCTGCCAGTGTCCTTGTCCCCACAGTGAGCCACAGTCACCTTCCACCTCTGCAGGAGACCCTCCAGCGCTAGCAGGTAGGTCTGGTTCAGTCTCCTATGGGGTCACTGCTCCTTCCCCTGGGTCCCAATGCACACACTACTTTGTGTGTGCCCTCCAAGAGTGGAGTCTCTGTTTCCCCCAGTCCTGTCAAAGTCCTGCAGTCAAATCCTGCTAGCCTTCAAAGTCTGATTCTCTAGGAATTCCTCCTCCCATTGCCAGACCCCAGGTTGGGAAGCCTGACGTGGGGCTCAGAACCTTCACTCCAGTGGGTGGACTTCTTTGGTATAAGTGTTCTCCAGTTTGTGAGTCACCCACCCATCAGTTATGGGATTTGATTTCATTGTGATTGTGCCCCTCGTACCATCTCACTGTGGCTTCTCCTTTTTCTTTGGATGTGGGGTATCTTTTTTGGTGAGTTCCAGTGTCTTCCTGTCAATGATTGTTCATTAGTTAGTTGTGATTCTGGTGCTCTCGCAAGAGGGAGTCCATCAATCCTTTCTTTCACTAGATCTAATCTGCTATGAATCCCCCTATTCAATTTTTCAGTTCAATTTGTATTCTTCAGCTCTATAAACTCTGTTTAATTTTTGGGGGGGAGATACTTCTGCCTCTTTATTGAATTCTCATTTTGTTCATGCATTTCTCCCTGACCATGGTGAGCATCTTTATGACCATTATTTTGAATTCTTTACTAGTTAAATCACTTATCTCTGTTTCAGAAATATCCGTTTCTGGAAATATATATATATATTTTTTATTTGGAAAGTATTCCCTTGTTTCTCCTTCTCTTTTTTTTTCTTGACTCTCTGTATTGCTTTCTGTGCATTAGATAAAACAGCCATCTTTCCCAACTTGACAGAATAGTCTCATGTAGGAGATGAGCTTCATTAATCAGCCCAGCCCAACCTTCTGGTTCCCTCAAATCTTTGTGATTGTCCTAGCCACCATAGTTAGTTTAGTGGCTCTTAGTAATTGAACGTGTACCTAGACCTGTTAGGGTCCCAAAGTGGAGGATCACAGTCAGAACCTAGATGCCGGTTGATTAGATGCTAAACCCTTAGGCAGCAGCTGGGAAAGTATGTAGATTCTCCTTTCAGGGAGAAACTAGGAGGTGGCTTTTGCCTGCACCCTCTGCACTGAGCCAGGATGTACAGCCATGGTAGTGGTGGTGGTGGTGGGGCATTCCTTTACCATTTAAAAATGGATTCTTTGTTTTCTACAGTCCTGTGAGACTCATTTGTGCAAGCCCTATTAGAGCCACAGAAAGGGGGGACCATGACTCGGGCAGCAGCTGCAGAAACCGGGGCACCACACAGGTGTATAAGCTCCTTCCAAAGAGATGTTGGTGACCTGCTCCCCCTGGGTCCATGGAGGATCACAGCTAGCTCCAAGAGTGTGCAAACTAGAAGCTGGAATTTTAGGCACAAGGCTGTAAAGTGCGCAGTCAATCCCCTCCCAGGAAAAGACTGGAAAATGGGCGTTTTTGCCTGCTCCCTCTTTGCTAAGCCTGGGGGTATAGTGATTGCTAGCATATGTGCCTGTTAAGAACTGCTTCTTTGTTTTTTATAGTCCTGTAGAACTTGTAGAAACAAGCCCCTTTGGCTATCAGAGCTAAGTGTTTTGCAGGGTCTGTCTCTTGGGTGGGAGCCTTAAAAGTTGGAATCCTTGATATGCTGCCCAAACCCTTCACTCCTCAGGGAGAAGCTGCGAGTTGGGGGTATTGTCCTGATTGCATGGTGTTGTACCAGGGGTAGAGTTTATGGCGAGTGTGTTTCAGCCTTTCCTACCATTTCAACGTGGGATTTTCATAGTTGCCTGATGTGTAGGAGTCACTCAGCTTGTTTCTGGATTTCTCTCAGAGGAAATTGCTCCACGTGTAGCTGTACGTTCAGTGCATCTGGGGGAGGAGGGAAGTTCAAGAGCCTCCTATGACACCATCTTTGTCCCTCCTGCAAAGGATTTCATATACATTGCTCTAAAGAACATATATAAATGGTAAATGAACACATGAAAAGATCTTCAATATTAGTCAATAGGGAAAATGCAAATCAAAACCATAGTGAGGTACCAATTCATACCCATTAGAATGCCTAGTATCAAAAAATGAAAAATAACAAATTTTTGTAGGGTGAGGATAAACTGGAACACCTGTGCATTGCTGGTGGGAATGTAAAATCACCACTGATTTGCCACTGTGGAAAACAGTATGGTGATTCCTTTAAAAGTCAGAAATATGATTGCCATATGAGCCAGCAATTCCACTGCTACATATATACTCAAAATAAATTGAAAGCAGGGACTCAAACAAATACTTGCACACCAGTGTTCATAGGAGCATTATTTGCAATAGCCAGAAGGTAGAAACAACCCAAATTTCCATTAACAGATAAAAGAATAAGCAAAATGTGACATATACATACAATGAAATGTTATTCAGCTCTAAAAATAAATGTAATAATGAATCTTGACAATTTAATGCTAAGTGAACTAAGCAAGACACAAAAGGACAAATAGTGTATGATTCTACTTATATGAGGTATCTAGAAGAGGCAAATTCATACAGACAGAAGTATGACAGAGGTTACCGGGGACTGGGAGAAAGGGAGAATGAGGAGTTATTGTTTAATGGGTACAGAGTTTCTATATGAGATGAAAAATTCTGGAAATTGATAGTGATGGTAAATTCACAAAACCGTGAATGTACTAAATGCTACTGAATTGTACACTTAAAAATGGTTAAAATGGGGCTTCCCTGGTGGCGCAGTGGTTGAGAGTCCGCCTGCCGATGCAGGGGACACGGGTTCGTGCCCCGGTCCGGGGAGATCCCACATGCCGCGGAGCGGCTGGGCCCGTGAGCCATGGCCGCTGAGCCTGCGCGTCCGGAGCCTGTGCTCCGCAACGGGAGAGGCCACAACGCTGAGAGGCCCGCGTACCACAAAAAAAAAAAAATGGTTAAAATGGTAAATCTTATATATATTTCACTGCAATTAAAAAAATTTTAAAGCACACTTAAAATTTTACTATATTTTTTTGATTCATAGAGTTTGCAAATCATTAATATGTTTAAATATCTCCTTCTCATAGAGGCCCAGAACAACATTTCTAAATTCCTAAAATGCTGCCTGAGATGCTGTTTCTGGTGTTTAGAAAAAGCAGTAAAGTTTTTGAACAGAAATGCCTATGTTATGGTAAGTAGCTTATTTTTATTTACTAAACTGTTTCTTTGCAAACCCAAACCCCATGTCTACATTTCCATCTCTAAAGCACTTGTGCATCAAGCAGTTGAATTTATCACCATGTTGTTATAAGAATTTGTGAATCCAATGCATCATTCAGGGCTAGGTTTTCCTAGTTGAGACAGTAACTTAACTGTAGTTCATTATTACCTTCAATGCCTTTTTGGAAAGGGAAAATATTATTTACCTTAGAAGTATAAAAATGTGCTAGATTGAAAATGATTTTGTTTGTCTTTGACATAGTTTAGTGGGAGGAAAGCTTACCTAGTCTATGTTTCACTGTGAAAAGAAAATATTCTTCTAATTCTGGGATTTACATATTTTTAAGGAAGGGTCTATTTCTTTTTATGATTCTTATTTTGAAATGTGTGGGAATTGATAATGCATAACTGAATGTTACTTATTTCCTATGGGAATATGGAGGCTTCTAAAGAGACTTTTTTAAAAATAGGGGATCCAAAAATATTATTCTAAAATTTAGCAGCTACAACCTTATAACACTTGCATATTATCACAGTGATACAGGGTCTGCATGGGTGATTCAAATAGTTATGGACATTCAAAGAGTCATTAATATACCTCCAGTGAGAATATTGTATTGAGCCTTTTAATCAATAAAGCAAGTGTATTGGAAGGCACTGGGTTTCCTGGGAGTAATTTTTAATGTGAACGCTACAACATTTAACCCATTCAGCAACAAACCATAGCCAAAACACTTCAAAGACAGAAGCTGTGTCCTGGGATTTGAGACGAAGACCTACCTCTGTTTGAAGATGTCTACTCCCCATGGAGTTAAGGGCAAATAGCAACCGAAACATACTTTATTGTCAATGACTCTGAGAGTTGTGCAGAGTTGAGGACACACACTGCCCAAGCCTCCCATGAACCCAACTGTTGGAAAGAGGAATGAGAATAACTGTGTGGGTGACAGAATTAATTCACGTTCCTGTCATTGGATTGTCTGTTGGTCTTGTTAAATTACGTTACGGACTCCAGAATAATATCAACTGTCTTCCTCAGATTGCAATATATGGCAAAAACTTCTGCAGGTCAGCGAGAGATGCTTTCAATCTGCTGATGAGAAATATTTTAAAGTAAGTAATCAGGTTGAGCATGGCAGTAGATGATTTGGTGAAGCTTTAGCATCCATACTTCACATGTTGGTGGTCTTGTTAGACATGAATCTTATCTTTTATTTTAATAGATTTAAATCTTCTCCTTCACACCATTAATTTCTTCATATGTTTTAGAATTATTGCTCCCATCATCCACCTATGCCTTTATACCCACTGGCACTTACTCATTTTTATTATCCCCTTGCTCAAGAAATTCCCCACATGAACATTATCATCATGTTTCTGACTATTCCCCCCTCCCAAAATTGACAGAGTCTGAGTGAACAAAATCAGAGAACCAGTGCAGCCATCCTCAGGATTCAGGGTATCCATAGGCCTCGAATTAGAGAGAGAAATGCTGACACCACCAATAGCACCTGACAGCCTTACAATGCCACCTTCTGTTTAGTCCATTATAAATAAGTCAGAAAACCATGCCTGGGTTCTAACTTCATTTCTTGCATTTAACAAAGGCCAAATAAAATTTCAGCAAAGACACATCAAAATGAACTCATGAATTATTTACTCTCATAAATTTCTGATAACAAATATAATTTAAACACAAAATTATACTTTCTTTTTTCTGATTCTCAGAGTTGCAGTTATGGATAGAGTGACAGACTTTGTACTAATCCTGGGGAAGATTCTAGTTGCTGGGTGTATAGGTAAGTAGTAGTAGTAGTAGGAATAGTAGTAGTAGTAGTAATAAGTTTAACATGTGCTTAGAAAAACTTCTTTACTACAAAAAGCTATGTTCCTTTGCAAATGCACAATATACATGTTCTGCCTTTTCACTCTAGGTGTCCTGGCCTTTCTACTCTTCACAGAAAGACTCCCAATGATTATAGTAGGACCAACATCTTTAAATTACTACTGGGTACCTTTGCTGGTAAGAGCTGATGTCTTAGTAAGTTTGGGCTGCTACAACAAAAATACCATAGACTGGGTGGCTTAAACAACAGGGATTTATTCCGCACAGTTCTGAAGACTGAGAAGTCAAGATCAAGGTGCCCACAGATTCAGTTCCTGGTGAGAGCTTTCTTCCTAATTTGCAAAGGGACACTTTCTTGCTGTATCCTAACATGGTAGAGAGAGATTTCATCTCTCCTGTCTTCTCTTATAAGGGCACTAATCACATTCACAAGGGCTCCATCATTGTGACTTCATTACTTCCTGAAGGCCCCACCTCCAGATGCCATCACTTTGGGGATTAGGTTTCAACATATGAATTTTGAGGGGACACAATTCATTCCATAGCGTCTGGATAACATTGACTCTGATTTATGAGAAATGGCAAAATAAAAAACCAAAAAGGAATAGGAGAAATAATGATAGCTAACATGGCTGGTCTTACTTTGAGGCCAAGCCTCATTCTGCTTTAGAGCTTGGGTCCCTCGGAAGCAACCCCTGAGACAGAGGATTGTGTGCAGAAGGCTTAGTATGAAGTGCTCTCCTGAGATACACTTGAAAGGAAGTGAGGAGGACAGGACCAGGCAAAAGAAGCTGACCCATGCTGCAATTATAGCTGAAGCCTCAGACATAATTACAGGAAGTTCTGACAAAGGGACTAGGCCTCTGTATGCTGCACCAGGCAGCCGTTGTCCAGGGGCTGCCCTCTGAATGATGGCGTAACCTTGGGTGAGGCAGTTCCCTGCAAGAGCAATTCCTAGTGAGCAAAACAGCTGAGTCATCAGCAGCCTACATACATTCCCAACAACTAGGGGATAGATGTGGCAGCTGGAGAGGACCTGGGGGGAGCCCTGCGAGATCTATTACAGTATATTAACTCACTCAATCCATGTGTCATAAATAGCATTATTACTCACATTCTCCCCTTCCCCACCAACAATCTTGTGTAGGAAGCCCAGAGATGTTAGGTGACTTGTCGAGTGAGTGCCTGAGCTGTGATTAAACTTAGGCAGTGTATGTTCTTAACTCCTATGCTTTACTGCCTCAGTGTTCAGGATCCTAAATCTGGGATGTTTTTGGTAGGCATTGGGGATAGTGATGAGCAAATTGGCAGGTAAACTAGTACATTTTGTTTAAATCCCAGTACAAAGGCACTCAAAAACTTTATCATTGAATTTTTTACATTCCTATATTGAAATCTTTTCCAACACAGAGGAGTATTTCAAAGCGTCCTCATCATGATTTTATTTAAAGCTGTATTATTGTTCTTTTGGACAAGTTAATGGACAAGTTAATGGCATCTTCATTCTCTTCTCTGCTCATTTACAGACAGTCATTATTGGATCTTACCTAATTGCACATGGATTCTTCAGCGTCTATGCAATGTGTATTGAAACAATTTTCATCTGCTTCTGTAAGTTTTCAGTATATGTGTTTTCCCCCTCTGGTGGATAACCAAGAGATGAAAAGGTTAAGACCCAGTCTTTTAGCTGGCTTGTGGATTTGCTATGACCTGGCTGAAACTGCAGAACAGTTTATTTGGAAAGAGACATTGTCCAGTAGATGCTTTGTAAATGTCAAAGGCTGAGAGATGGAGTTTGAAAAGCACTGGAGGGTCAGGCATCATGGCATGGTGTTAGCATGAAATTATTTTAATTTCTTAATGTTTTCAAATTTATAATAATGATTGGCTTCTGTTGTGCTTTATTAGCAACTGAAGACACAACTGGGCTTTGAGGCTGGGCTTTGGGGACTCTGAGGATAGCCTTTATACCTTCTGCTAAAGCCAAGCTGGCAATGGTTTCAAAGACACATAGGGCCAATTCACACTGGGTAACACGATGACAAACAGATAGGATTCATAGGGAGGCGTGTTTAGGACATGGCTAGATCTACTCTGACGCGTAGTGTTAAAATACTTCAATAGAGCTTTCATCACTGACTTCTTCACTGTGCTTCTATGTGGCATGTGCACCTCACGTATGCAGAATGGATATGTTTTCTATTAATACCTCATCTTTTTTTTTTTTTTTTTTTTTTTTTTTTGTTTTTTGCGGTACGCGGGCCTCTCACTGGCTCCGGACGCGCAGGCTCGGCGGCCATGGCTCACGGGCCCAGCCGCTCCGCGGCATGTGGGATCTTCCCGGACCGGGGCATGAACCCGTGTCCCCTGCATCGGCAGGTGGACTCTCAACCACTGCGCCACCAGGGAAGCCCCAATACCTCATCTTAAAAGCCCTGGAGAACCTAGTGCCCATCAGGAGCTTGATCTGTCCTTACCTTCAACCTAGATAAAGTAGGGTCAACAGGTGAAAGAACAGAACTTGTTAGCCCTACAACTAATACCCTCTGAGAGATTATTTCTCTGGCACATTGCTCTTAAGAGAAGCAGAGAAAACATTCTATGACAGGGCATTACTGAGTGATCTACTTGTATAAAACGAACAGTTTATTTTTTAGTGTAACTCACAGCACCAACTGCATGCTGGGGTCAGGAGAGGAGATATATATTTATATCTCCCTAAAGATACTAACTTTAGGGAGATAGATATATTGAAGGAAAAAACCTTCTAGAAAATGGTTTGATTTTTTTTTCTGAACATTTAACAAATCAATTTTCAATAACTGGACAAATTAATCGGAAGGACTTTGTGTACAAGTTAGCTCTTCCTCTGGCTATAAATGGAACTGGAATGTTTAATCTTTTCCTAGTGCTTCAGTGGTTTGTCAGGAAAAGCCATCTACAAAATACCACATGAACAAACTTCAGCCCAGGTATGAGGTGGAAGAAGGAGCATGGGAATAAGGTAGCTTAAGACACAGAAGAGACAGAGATCTTGAATGTTCAGAGGTCTCTCCTCTCATCTCAAATACTAATCATGAGAATGAAACTGGGAGAGCCCACTGGGATCTTCCTGATTCTTGTAAGTGAGAAGTTTTCTCAAAATGTATCCCGGGAAATGTTTAGAACCTATCAATCAGTTTCCAATATTTGGAACCTTTGGCAAATCTTGTAGATTTTAATTTTGACAGTGGATTTTAAATTTGAGCACTAAGAAATGTTTTCCACTCATCTATATTACTAATTGCCAACTTCTTGAAAAGCAGGTATAATTTCAGCCTTATTTAACACATTGTGTGTTGAATGTGAATAGTTTCTTTTTGGATGTTCTTGTCTTTGATAATAAAGAACAAGAGAAGCCAAATTGTATTTTTCTTCCCTCTGCAGCTGTTACTATGGGCAACATCTAACTTTGGAAATTTTTCTTCTTAAATGATACTCTAAGGCAAATTATGATTGTGTGGAACTGTACCTTTTTAAAAAATATATACTTCTTTATACCTATTATCTTGACTGCCAGAAAACTGGTGATTTTAAAAATGCAAACTATTTGCAAACAAACACTTCATTTATAGAGACATAGCATCCTTTCAACATTACAAGGCGATGAGAATTCTGGTCCCAGGATGGGAAAAAAACAATAATTGTAGATGATTATTTTCATTATTATGTGATTGATACCACAGTTCCTACCAATCCCGCAAAACTAATAATGATATAAACATACAACATATGATATGTGATATAAGATATAGAAATATGATTAAGGAAAAAAGAACAAAAATGTTCAGCATCTATCATGTTCCCTTCTTAGCTTTTCATTTTGTATGTGGGGAAAGTCACTGTGAAGTCTAATGTAAAAATCTAATAAACCAATAATCCAACCATTCCTAAGAGAGTATGATGAAAAATAACTTAGATTTATTCCATAAATCTGTGATTATGTTATATGGTTTTACATAATATTTCTTATCCTTTATTTCATAATAAATAAAGGCTAAAATAGCATAATATTTTTAATATACTAGTCAAAACAGTTTCAAGTTGCCTTTATATATTTATTGAGATAGATATTATCAGCTGTGAATTATATGTATCTGCAGGAAATTTAATTCCATGCAAACTTCTCCTTGCTTCTCAGCATCATTCTCATGTTTTTCCCCAACCACCCAACAGATGTGTGCTCAGTGAATATCCATCATTTTATTAGCCTAAGCAAAGCAGGAATATAAACTCATGTATTACAGAAGTCAGCAAACACTGCATTAGCTTTTGAATATATCTGAGGTGAACTAAAAGGATTTAGGATAGGACATCGTTTAGTTAAGTAGGATGAGAACTGAAGTAGGTGTCAAGAGACTGGGTCCTCACCTCATCCTGTTGCCTCAGAGCTTTCAATTTCAGGAGAATCATTTTACATCCCTGGGTCTCAGTTTCTTCATCTGTAACATGAGGGTGTGAATTACCATTAAAAGAGACTTTGAACTCTGAAATTCAATTATTCTCTACATTTATCACACCATACTTTTTATTCAGCTTCATCTCAGAGGATGTGGCAATTTACCTCTCTGAAATGAACAGTCGTTAGAATTTAAAGATAACACATTTGAAAGGACATAAAAGATCTTATTAACCTTTAAATTATCAAAATAAACCTCTTTGGAGTGGGTGGGATTTAGGAAGTTTCAGTGCTTCCTGGCAGAGGTTGAAGCTTCTTACTTTGACCAGCATCAGCTACTTAACTGCACTAATTTGTCTTATATTTGACTTTCTAACACTGCTTTCTCTGATTTTTCCCTGTTCGACTCTCCAACTTATAAAAATGCATATAATTGTTCTGCTGCTGTTGCTGCTTTTGCCTGCTTTGGCTGCTGCATATACAGGTGAAGATCTGGAAAGAAATGATGGATCTACAGAAAAACCCTACTTCATAACCCCTACCCTGCACGGAATTCTGAACAAGAAGCAACTAGTTCCCCAGAAGCAGAAAGAGTAGAAAAGCTCCAAACAGTGCCATTCATTTTTAAGTAGAAGTTTTGTAAATTAGGTCATTTGTATTTGAAAATGATGCTTTTAAGTAATGTGAAATTTCAGTGCTTATTCCTAAAAAGCGAGAACTTGGTACCATCTGAGGTATCAGGCAATTGATGACAGTAGCCTCTGTGAACTAGGATACTTTATAGTGGTCCCAGCTGAAGAGCAAGGTGTAAACGTCACACATTTTTTTAAAGTCTATAGCTGAAAGTGTTTCCAAAACTTTTATAACTTGGCATGCTGTTTCCCATTGCAGCATTTTGATAGCCTTTCTTTTTATAAATATATATTTGTAAAGGGTATTCAGGAAATTTTTGAAAGCACTATAAATGTGTAATCAATTAGCCATAAAAAGATTGATTTATAGTTAACCAGCATATGGTACTAAATTTGTAAATATGGTGCTATGGTTATATTTATACTGTTCAAGCTAGTGGACAACATTCTAAACTGTGATTAAACTTGTATTAATGGTTCCCTAGGAAGTATATTTCAGTAAGTGATTCGAGACCATAACAAACATATAGACGTTAATGTTATACAGGTTCCATAGGCTGCATTACTAGGTAAAAATTACTGTGGAACCTTCATAGGCCATTTTGTTTCAGTGAAATTATAGTGAAGTTGAATCTGAGTTCTGGAATGTCATTTCCAATAATATGAACCTCTGGCCACCATGAAAATATTCTGAGCAGAACTGAGATGGCCACATAACTCATGCCGTTTGTCTGTAACCCAAATAGAGAGAAATCCTTATTTTCCTATGCCCATCATATAGAAAATGGGTATGGATCTGTTTCAGAAGAGTGATTATATCTGTTATGAGTTTCTAGATTAAAGAGATGATGTGGCTTTTTTCTATAAAAAGTTTAATTTTAGCTTAACTCTCAGTGAAGAAAGAGAAAAGATAAGAAAGACACTTCAGATTTTACCCTAAGGAAATATTAGCCCTCCATAGGTACCTCATCTTGTACCTTTACAAGAGGCATACTGTAGGTTAGGAAATCTCTTCCTGAAGGGTTTAGGAGGAGCGTTACTTTCATACTCCACCCTTGCTGGCCAGAGCAACAAACCAGGCTCTGGCATAGCAAAGCATGAATCAGACACTCACGTACTTTGCCTATCCATCTCCTGTGTGCAAGTGCGTATGACATGGCAAACAGTGTAAAAATGTAGCCCCAAAGGAGCATTGAATCAATAGTGTCCTTTTGGCTTTTACACTAAGTTTGTGTATAAGGATTATTTATGTCTTGACAGAAAGGAACATGTTGATCTAACATTTTGATCTGATATATGATCCATGTATCCAAGAAGAGAGTCAGAAATGTATTATTGTTATAAATTAATATAAATAGTAATTTATTTAATGACCCTGAAGTGTGGGAACCTAGATTTAGACTGACTTCATAGCAGCTTAATAGCAAGAAGCTAATGAATAGGGGAGATTTTCAAAATACTGGTCCTTCTATGGCCACCATCTTGCTCTTGGCTTACTTTCTTGAGATTACTGTAATCAAAAGTGTCATTTGGCTTCATACCTTGGCAAATACCTTCTTCACTCTCATGCTCCTTGAAGTATAATTCAGAGAACAGTGATAACCTGTCTTTCTAGATAGTTATTATTTTATTATTCAGTAATACAGGGTTCACAACAAAAATCTAGTAAAATGGTTACCTCTAACTTAAGTATTGAAAAATTATAAGAAATAAGTCCCCTTTTAGGAGTAGTTGAAAAATTCATAATGATGAAACAGTTTAAAATTTTTTGTGTACGTATCAGAATCAGTCTGAGAAACTGTTATAACTATTGATACCTGTGCTCCCCACCCCAAGAGATTCTGATATAAGTATTTGGGTGTGGGGCAGCTTGTGAATTATTATAAAGTTCTCTAGTGATTCTGATACACATAAAAGTTGGAAAATCACTTGCATAAAATATAAATCAACATGTGTGAAATCATTTGCCTATTTTTTCCTTATAAGCCTGGCTGTTCTAGGAGTTAGAAAATTGAGAAAGACAAAGGAGATTAATTTGGAGAATTCTAACAATCATAACTTCTGTATTTTAGAGTCTTGGTACTAGATGGGGGCCCATGTTTTAAATGCTTAACATTTAAATCTGCTGATTAGACCAGAAAATTCTCCACAGTAAACGTATTCACTGAACTATATGGAGATAGATACATTCTAAACTTGGCTATATTTTAAGAATATAACCCTTGGTTGCAAAATCATAGGAAAAGCAATGTCGTTTGGTTCAATATTCTTAATAAATATTCTTTAAAAATCTCTTAAGTATAGAAGTTTTAACTATATTATGTGCTTAATTCTAGTTAGAAAAATATTTTTCATTAATTACTTGTTTGTATAATTGAAATATAGAGAAAAATGAGTTGAAAAAAATTTAAAAGCCACTTTCTTATAAAGAAATTAAGGTAATAACTGAAAAAACAGAGCAATACTTCTCAAAATTTTGGGTTCAAAGATTTGAAATATATTGAAAATTTACAAATCTTTAAAAAAAAAAACTGTACCACCTAAATTGTTGCTCGAAAAACAAAAGCAATCTTGAACTAATATGGTAACTTAGAAGGCAAGTTGAATACATCATACTTTTTAGGAATTTGAAGGTGAATTTAGAAATTCCTCATACATCTTGTTTTTTGGGTAGTTACATTTGCTCTCTAAAAGAAGATAAAACTTATTTCCTTAATCATGCAGCTGAGAGGCACGTGCTATTGGCAGAATCAGACCTGGTACACAGAATGAGATAATATCTTATTGATACAATAACAAGGGCTGATTGTTTTCTCATAGTTATGTTTACAATAATGTTGATGCCAAACTATGCTGTTTTTTAGAATAACATTTTGAACTGCTGTAAAGCAAGTATGCAGCAGATGGCGATGTTACTTCTCTTACAGTTTTGCTTTGATATTTACCCTGTGCCATTCTTCCTCCTAGTGGAAGATTTAGAAAGAAACGATGGTTCTGCTGAAAGACCCTATTACATGAGTCAATCTCTGCTGAAGATTTTGAACGAGCAAAAGGCACAAACTAAGAAGCAGTAGAAGTGCAAACTCTGGTCATCCTGCAGCGGTGTTACCTTTCCCTCATCTGCTGTGTATGTGCTACACTTGTTTCATAAGTGCTTTGTGTATGGAACACTGTATTCACGACCTTGTTGGCTTTTATTTGCATGTTTTATACCAAAGCTTATACTGTAATACGTGAAGCCATCAGAAGTTGCAAGGGAATTGTTAATAACACGGAACATTTTTTATACTAAGATCTTTTGTTTTGTAATTCATTTTTAAATAGAATGGCTAGGATGTTTTGAAAATGCTAGTGAATATGTTAATATTGTTTTAAATATTAGATTGAAAAATGATACATTATTTAAATTGGTAGCTCCTAATATATTTTTTAAATTACAACTAAAAGACTTCTGCAGGGAAAATTGGTAAACAAAGTAAAACAGAAGATTTTAAAGTTTTCCCCACTCCTGTTTGACAATAAATTGGTAAAAGGAGCACCACACTCCAGATTTTGCTCTGAGTATAGACTGTTTCCTATTAAACAAATTGTCAATCATCCAGCCTTTACGACTTAGTCCTCTCTGACAAAGTGCCTTACTGGCTGTTTAATATTACCCAGCTTTTGTGGGCAAGTTTACACACATTGTTAAAAAAAAAAAAGAATCCTGCAATGTTTAGTGATTAAAACAAGTCTTCTTGCATTTGTTTTTTTCTTAGCTCACTGGTTGAAAACCATTTGTCATTTCAGTATGTTTGATATCCTCACTATATAGACTACATTTTGCAGCATAAACAATTTCCCTTGCGCCTAGTGGACATTCATGAATGTGTACTACACGCAAGAAAAAAACCTGAAAGGACACTTGTTAGGTTTGTTTTTTTACTAAAAGTGAGTTTAAAGTGTAATCTTTTCTATGATAGATATTTGAAAATACAATAGGTATAAGACTACATTTCTCAGTGTTTTACACAGATTGGAAAGGGAAACTTGAAGAAATTACAAAGGGAAACTTTACCCCTAGAAAGGGTGCTCACAGATGTCGTGTACTGAATAGCTCCATTTTAAATGATTGTTTATTATCATCAATGAGTGTTCTATGTATGTTATTTCCATTTTCTAACTTTTGATATGAAATAATCAGTTTATTCATGTTACTTTTTATTGTGCTAATATGAACAAGAACATAATTTCTAATTCAATTTTAAATAATTTTATTAGTACTAACTTTAAAGAAAATGATTTCAGTTTGTTACTCAGTGTTACAGAAAGAGTCCATAAAACATTCACCCTAAAGGAATGTCAATCACACAATGATAATTTGTGAAAGCTTTGAGAATCTATAGTAAGTTCCTAGCAGTTTATCTATTATATTTAAATGTGACTTTGGATATTCTTTTATGCCAAAAACGAACTCATATGAGCACAAGACAGTCTGAGCTCTATAGTCACTATGCTTCTGCTGTGCAGAAATATTAGGAACATATTGTCTAAATACCTTTGATAACTAAACTGTTTAATATTTAATGAAATTTGTTGTTACTCATTGTTTTAAATCTATTTGTTTTTTCTTCTAATAAAGATTTAGATAAGAAAAAGCTCTTTGCTTTTTTATTTCTTCAAGCTAGAAAAACCCATCTATCATCATGACAAAATCTCCTCTGTATCAAATATCTAGGTTTTTAAAAAAAATCTAGATTTATCTTTAAACTTGTTTCCCACTTTTTTTCTAGCTGTGCACTGACTGCCAAACCAAATAACTGAAGCTGATAATTTATACAAAGTAAATAAGTCAAAGCTAAATGGATAAGAAATGGAGTTTTTTAAAAACCCAAACAACAGCCTAAATTAGTTAGTTGGTCTTTGTTTTAATTTGCCAAAAGTTTGCTCAGTCCCACATTTGGTTTGGCCAGCATTCATAAGAAGCAAATCTCATCATTTTAAAGGCAGGGATAAGTTTACAGAATACAAAAAATGTGAACACAAATTAATAATAGTTTCTAAGGCACGATTAAATGTCCCTATCGCTGGTTTAGCTCAGGCTAAAAATTTTCTTAGGTTCAGATATTCCTTAACAAATCTATAAGTCTATTTTAAAATTGAATTAATTCTATGTTAAATCTTCAAACTTAATTTTTCTTTAAAATTTAATAGGTTTCTTTAAATGAAAACATAAATGTTGCAGTTTTCAAGTTTGTTTTAAAATGTCCTATATCGGGACCTCCCTCTCCTGCCAGTGCAGGAGACACAGTTTCCAGCCCCACTCTGGGAAGATCCCACAGGCCCCAGAGCAACTAAGCCCGTGCACCACAACTACTGAGCCTGCGCTCTGGAGACCGCAACAAGCCACAACTACGGAAGCCCACGCGCCTAGAGCCCGTGCTCCGCAACAAGAGAAGCCACTGCAATGAGAAGCCCGCGCACCGCAATGAAGAGTAGCCCCCCTCGCCACAACTAGAGAAAGCCTGCGTGCAGCAATGAAGGCCCAACGCAGCCAAAAATTAATTAATTAATTTAATTTTTAAAAAATAAATAAAACGAAATAAAATGTCCTATATCTAATAAGATGTTTGTTAATATAGCTACTGGTTCTTTTCTTATTTAAAATAAAAATATCATTTGGTTTCCAGAAGAAATCCAAACCTGCCTTATATTTTAATAAGTCCCACTTTTAGATGATACAGCACTGATCATATTTGTAAATAAATTGTTTGAAATTGGACTATGACTGATTTGATTTTTCTATGTGCCTAGAAAGTTTTAAAAAGAGTTTGTGAAATCACACTATTAAAGGTTCTGTGGGATCATCAGGCATAATGCGGTTATCATTTAAAATAATATTGGAAAGCAGGCTGTATGCAACAATTCCTTATTTTTCTTTTACTATATAGTTGACCAGCACTCATTCCAATGTATATTCTTTCACTTTTACAAGTGGTGCCTCAGGAAATTGCTCTTAAACTCTAACCAGGCATAGCAATTATCTTTAGTATTATCTGGCTCTGGATGCTTTATAAATCAGTCTTCGTTGGCATAAGATATGGGGACAAAATTGAACAAAAATCATTATTGCAGACCATGGATATGAAATGGTGTTGACATTTTTTCCAGTTTCTTGCAATTATTATCCTTAGATGTTTGCAAATATTTGTATTTTAAAAACATAGCTATATGATTATAAGAATACAGTTCAATAAATCATTGATGAAAAGAAATATCTTACCAATATAGCAAGAATAAATTACTTCTCCAAAATTACTTTCCATATACCATGTTTCTAGTCTTGGGGCTAAAATGGGTATTGACGATTTCTCTCAGGACCTAGCTTCATTGCTAGTGAATCAAAACCCAGAAAACAAAGCCAACTCTCATTAAAACAAATGTAAATTCATTTATTCATGAAAACTGAGTACCACTTTATGCAAGACTTGTACATCAGGAAGATGTCACAGTCACGGACCCTCTTAAAATTTATCAGGCCAAACTGAACTGTTCTTTCCCCCATTTATGACTTTCCAATTGCTTAAAATGAAACAGCCAAAATAGTATAGAATCTGGCAATATCTTCTCTAATGGCTTCTGTGCTGGGACGAATGAGGACTGTTATGTGACGCATTTAAAAGCAATCAATTCAATTTTACTATTTGAAGTCACTAACTATTTTTTTTTAACACCTTGGCTCTTTTTTTTCCAGTCCTTTTTTCTACTGTATGATTTAGAACAATTTAAGCAAATGGATAAAACAATCTTGTGAACAAAGTAAAATGCCCTTCCACCGATGACTCAAAAACACGGGCGTCTTCATATTCTGGCCCTTCACATGGTACTAAGAGCACCGTGTGTTAACAAAGGTGGGAGAAGCTTATCAAATGAAAAGATGTTTTCATTTTGCATATAAATTAAAGTGAGCCTGGACTTGATCACTGTTAGAGTAATCTTGAAATTTCCACATTCTTCCAGCCAAATGAGTGTGTGCTGCTGCATATGTGTAAGCAGTGCACAGAAAGAAGAAAATGAAGGTAAGATGTTGGGAAAAGCACTGGTGTTCAAGGAGAGAACAGAAAAAGCTAAGGGTATATAAAAATATATCTCTAACAGGATCTAAGAGGGCAGTGTTACAGAAAGCGGGGTGCCTTCTGAATGCAATTCATAAATGTACTGAAAAAGAAACAATAACACATTTGAAGCCAGTAATTAAAAATATTTTTCAGTTTTCTGGTAAACAGCACTGAAGCAGACTATGTTACAGTAAAACTAATCACATAGATGTATTTAGCCCAAACAAACAAAAAAGAATGATGTCTCAACATGATTTATGATGAAGGGATTAAAAAACATTTGCCTAGGGAAGATACCAAGATGGCAGAATAGGAGGATACAGAACTCACCTCCCCCACCACGAACACATCGAAAATACATCTACATGTGGAGCAATTCTCACTGAAAACTAACTGTAAACTGGCAGAAAGAATCCTGAAAAACTACGGCTGTAAGAAAGATCTACACAATATCAGGTGTAAGTGGTGAGAAGAGATCAGATCAGAACCTGTGCCCCTGAGAGGGAACTCAGAAGATCAGGGAGATTACAGGGCAGAGATCCCCTCTGGGGAGTAAGTGGTTAAAGCCACATATTGGGCACCCAAGCCCTGGGGTCTGACACTGGGAAGACAGGTCCCCTTGGCTGGTTGGAGGACAGTGAGTGGGACTAACAGGAAGGCTGTGGGAAGCCTGGACTCTACTCATGAAGAGTGCACACATGCTTGCTTACTCCCAAAACAGGGCAGAGAGGGCAGATTGAAACTTCAGGGGACACTGGCCAGTTTCCCCCAAGGCTGGTGTAAGCCCCAGTGTGAGCTGAGCACCAACTCTAGCCCCACTTGCTTCATGACACAGCTCCACCCTGGGGTGAGGGCTGTTGTGGCTGAGGCGAGATCTCAGCTGTGAGGCACAGAGGTGGCTCAGACCTGGAGCAGCATCTGAGTGGGGCAGTGGCAGCCATCACTGGTGCTTACACTGGCAGAGCATCAGAAGCAGT